TTAAAATAAAAATAATTATTTATTAAAAAATAAAAAAAACAATAATTAATTTAAGGTAAAATATAATAATTATTTTAAAATGAAAAGTGCAACATTTATTTTATTAGGTTGACTATGTTATAAACATGAAAAATGATTGGTACACCTTTGATTCAACATATTTTTGGTACACCTTTGATTCAACATATTTTTCGACACTCTCAGTTTTGTTATTAAAAATATAATATAAATACAGTCAATTCAATCAGTTCATGTATTTTGTGTATATAATTATATTATTAAATTTATCTATTTTTAAGTTCAGACTAAAAAATAATAATTTTTTAATGAATATGTCACGCAATGTGTTGAAACAGAGTGTGTATCAATTATTGTCCTATAAATATACAAAACAGAGTGAATAAAATGACGGAAAAAGTAATTTTTTTTTTTTTTAAATACAACCTATAAATATTTAAAAAAATTTGAATTCCGTATCTAGAAGAAAAATAATTTACCACCATTAGTCTACTGCTTGGATTGAAGTTTTTCCAGTTCTTATCGCGCCATTGCAGGCGCAAGCGTGAAAGAAATACACAACTTTGACCACTCTCGCTGATGATCAACGCATGCGTGGAAGACTTCTCAGCATTATTAATGAAATTAATTAATTATGTAAAGTCATACTACATATATATTTTTTTATTTTGAATTGTATAAGAAAAATATTTTTATTTTTTATTTTTTAAATCACTTTATTCATATACCATATGATTTAATTTTAAATTTTTTTACTTTCACAAAAAAATTATTCTTAAATTATTTAAATTAATTGTTAAACTAATGTATTTAAAAGCTTATGAATGTCATAGATACTACATATATATTTAAAAGCTGGTAAATGTTATAGTATTAAACTCTGTAAAAACATTTTCATTGTGTTATGAATACAAATCTTGCTAGAGGGTACATGTGTAAACTTGTAAGAGGGTAGACGTACCCTTGTATTTCTTGTAGAATAAATTTTTTTTGTCAATAAAAAAACCTAATTAAAAACATATCATCAACTTTTTACAAAATAAATAAATAAATACGTATGCATGCATTTTCCAACACAAATCTCATGCATGTGTTTTACGGAGCCTATAGTTAAAGACTAACAAGTCGGTCATGTCAAAATAAGATATAACCTGAAATTGTTTATTTAGCTTTTTCTTTAACAATTAACTATAATTCTTAAAAAATAAAAAAAGAGAATAGGATTAAGAGTTCTTGAATATTAGTTAAGTAAGTAATAAATAATACCGTTTTCCTGCCGTCCATAGGCCAGGTTCGAAATTGTTTATTTAGCAATTAATCTACAGAAGTACAGCTAAACCAATTGAAGATCTTGAGGAGGAAAAGCATCTAGCTCCAGCAATCGTGAGGACCTTAAGAAAGAGGGCAAATCAATTGATGAAATGGATCGTTTATGAAAATTGAAAAGTGTCTTATCCTCTATTTTTT